GGAAGTTTACTATGAATTCTGCTTACTCTTTTCTGATGCAGGGTAAATGGAATCAAATTGACAAGGATTGGGACGCTATTTGGAAGTGGCCAGGACCGGAAAGAGTTCGTGTATTCCTCTGGTTGTTGTATAGGAAAGTTCTTATGACCAATGTAGAAAGAAAGAAAAGACATCTGTCAGACGATGCCACTTGTCATCTATGCGGAGGAGAGGAGAGCCTATTCCATTTGTTTCGAGACTGTTTCAGAAGTAGAGAATTGTGGCGCAGTCTCAACATAAACCTGGGAGAAGATTTTTGGCTGGTAACGGACTGAAATTTTGGGATTAAATCTAATTTAAACTATTCTACTTTGCAGGATGGACAACAATGGGTGACTTGGTTTGCAATTAGCTGCTGGAAGTTATGGACAACCCATAACGATGAAGTTTCCGAAGGGGCAATGCCTTCCAAAGATCCCTAAGCCTCCGTATTGCGGCTGCCGTCAAGGAGGTTAGCCCCTCGAATATGATTTTTGTCAATAGAGGAGGCCACTCACGAGTTAAAACCCAACAACTCCCCTGGAACCCTCCTCCTCAAAATACCATCAAGATTAATACTGATGGACCAGTGTCAAAACCAAAGAAGAAGTCGGCAGCGGGTGGGTTACCTGGAACAAGTAATGGAGACTGGATTATGGGTTTCGCAACAAACTTGGGCTATTGCTGTAGTCTAGAAGCAGAAATGTGGACTGCACTGGATGGCCTTGAAATTGCTTGGGAGCTAGGCTTCCGGAATATTATATTAGAGCTAGATTTTATTGAGGCGGTGAATTTCCTAAATGATGAGGGAACTGCTGTTATAAATAGTAATGTCTTTTGTAAAATTAGAGGTTTCCTAAACCTCCAGTGGCAGACTAGGGTAATCCATGCACCTCGTGACAAAAATGAGGTAGCGGATAAGTTGGCAAAATTTGGGTTTTCCTGCCCAGCTGGTAGGCAAATTTTGTCAACTCCTCCGTCGCAAATCATGGAGCTTTTGGAGTCGGATAGGCCATTGCATTCCTAGCCCTAAGGGATGTTTTGTAATCTAAGCCTTTGGCTTCCCTATTATGAAAAAAAAAAAAATGGCCCAATTTGCGATTGAAACCCCTTGATATCTAAGCTCCTTAATCTTTCCTTCCTTGAGTTTTGTTTTATCTTCAATTTAGTCCAAAATTTCAACAATTCTTTATTTAAGTACAATTCCTACAAACAAAGATAAAATCACATAAATAGCATATTGGTACTCAAAATATTAGCAAAATGTTGCATAAAGGGATATCAAAAATGAGAAAATTATAAGCAAATCATGAGAAAAGCTGAGCACATGGTTATGATTGTCAAATGGTACATAGTGGGATGACGAAGAAATATTATCTCATTCAAGGGCACTTTCATTGTTGAAAAAAGAATTGCGCTCCAAAGAGACAACTTATATATCTATGCTCATGTGGAAGAGGAACATGGAGCATCCATACCTACATTATATAAATGATGAAGGGATTATCTTGGATGGAACACACTGAAACATTTTTCATAGGATCTATAACCAGAATTTGATCTTCAGCTGTTAATTGCTCAAGCAATGGAGTTGGGACAATAATAATAATTCCATAACATTACCAAGTCCCATGATTTTGTCATGGTACCATATGGTATTTCAACGGGAATCGAGGATTTCAACAAAGTGAGAAAATCCATCTAAATGAAGTGATATTACAAAAGTTGTAAAAGAAAGGTATCTCTCAATCGATTATTTCAACTAGCATGGACCGAGACCAGAAGCAACAAAGACTACATTCTCTCACTAGTCATAGATTTTATTAATACTCGGGAGAGAATATTAGTGATATATTGATATATAAATATTCACAGCCCTGCACGCCTTTAATTTTTGACTTGAAAAAGATGTTGATCTTTTTTTGTTGGGGGGGGGGGGGGGGATTCATTCAATACTATATCATGTCTTGATATATTCTTTTCTTTTCGGGTTTTCTATTTTTGAGAAACTTTACTACATATCCTAAGTTTAAACCAGAAAAATGCAGTGAAGATTGAAGTCATAGATTGAATCGAAATTGGTTGAAGTCATAGATTTCTTTTAAATTTATTTTCAATTGAGTTGAAAAAATTCAATTTTGCAGGTACAACATAGTCGGACGTGTTTTCTTGAAGATAAAATTTATAACATCTACATTTGAAGTCACATTTTTAAATGTTTTGTTTTTCTTAATGTTCTTTATCACGTCATGAATTCAAGACCCTTTTAGACTATTAGATAGATTTAATTGCAGGATTGGCTTACGCTTTATCATTTACACTGATTTGCTAAGATATATGGTCTGAAGTTATTCTAAAAAGTGAGAGATACTAGAAAGATATGCAATAAAATATCTTTTGTTTCTAATTTGTACGTTTATGTTTAGCTTACCATAGTGTCAAAATGGGGTAAAAGGGAAAATTTTAATGTTTGAAAATTAAGTTTAGTTTATGTTATAATTTTGTTTATTGATTAACGTCAATGAAGTTGGATCAGATTTTAATTAGTGCTAAGAAGTTGACAACTTCTGTATTTAATCTACTGGAATAATAAGCAATGTTTTGAATTGATGCTTAAAGAATTAACAAATTACGTTATTTATGTATTTGATTAAAATATTTGAATATAATTCAGTACATTTATTTATCCTATTGTGAAAAAGTAAATAACATCAGCCTAGATATCAACTACACCATGCATAGTGCGGTGCAAAAGTCAGGTATTTAGAATAACATGTGCAATTTTAATATCTAAACCGACCAGGTAGCGACAAAGTTTGTTGAACTTCAATCGCACATGTTTGAGATGAACTTGTCTATCAAAGCATCTAGCGTTCGAGGTCATGGAAAGATAATATATGGCAAATGCCATTTATGTTTTTGGTGCATTGAGCATTATGTAAAGTTTGTTATACTTTATTCCTAGAAATGTCTTATTTGTTTGAGAGAACGATGCATGTTAATAATGTACATAAATATGAAAAAATCCAATTTAGTAAATAAAATGTTCACTGCTATTTTATGGGTAACTTGTGCATATTAACTTTAGTGCATACAATTAAATCTCTTATTCATATATTAATCATTACATTTTCTTTTTGCTCAATCCATTCTAGAATATTTTCTGAATATCACATCAATCTTTACTTTCTTTTATTACCTTGCAAATGAAAACTGCTTACATGGAGAAACCACAATAACAATGATATAAATCTAAATAAGCGATATATGAAAGTTACGAGTTCTAATGTAAGACCATTTGTTGGATTCGGTCAATCTAGAGTTTTTTACCAATATTAAATTTAATTGACTCAACTCATAAAATAAAGACCAATATTCAAATATAGTTATTACTTATTAGTAACATAACATTGGACCTACCCTTTCAGATAATAATATTGGACCCTTTACCTTAATTTTCCTTAATCCCAGGTGCGAAAGAGAAAAAAGAAAATTCTCCCATAACTTTCCTCCCTAGAATTTACACTATTTATTACTCACACTGTCCAACAAAAAATAGTCCACATTAAGTTTTGAGATTTGTACTAAAACTAGTACAAATTTGAAAACTCAATTACTCTCTCTGTCTCATAATAATTTTTCAATTTTGATTTTATTTTTAATACGTTTTTATTAAAAGTGAAACATCAAATTAGACAATAATTTCGATACAAAGCGAGTAGACATATTCAATTTATGCAAACTTTGTTAAGAGTTAGTTGTTCCATATTGCTCCCGTGAACAAACATTGATATGTATATAAGCTCCAGAGGTCACCACACTCATTGCGAATTGGTTATGAGATGGGAGTCCAATATACTTTTCTACTTTGACATGGTTTTAGAGTGTTGTGGAACTGTGGTAGAGTTCTAGCCGGAGGTGGCCTGTGGTGATTTTACATTTATCCCACTGGATCGTTGCTTGTGAGCTTTTTGTGGACCAACCCAGCGGTATAACTGTATTTCTCCTACTGGAGCATTGCTCGAGAGTTTATTGTGGACCGATCCAGCAGTATAACTGAAGTATTGATAAACTTGTGTTCTTGTTGTACTCCAAGTCGATTGGGCTAAAAGTTTAATGATCCATTGGACTTGAGGGAGAGTGTTAAAAGTTAGTTGTCTCACATTGCCCCGTGAAAAAAACATAGAGTGCTTGTTTGGGCAACGTTTTATTTTAGTTTGTGATTTGGATTTGAGAGGAGATTTAAAAGATAGTTTAGTATAGTGACCATTTATGAAATTAACTCATTGACCAAAGTTAAAACTTTACAACCATTGACACTAATTTTTCCCTCATCACCAGATCACCACTACCACCGCCCCCCACCACTGCCGAACTGCTGCCGGTCGGCGACTGGTCGGCTGGATTCTGGTCAAATTCCGGCAAGTTGACCGGAAGTTGGCCGGAATTCATGGCGGTCGGTGGTGGTGGTTGACAAAAACTATGTAAAAATAATGTTTAAAATATTTTTTAAAAGGTAAGTTAAATTGATGTTTGGATGGTGTTTTTGCATTGAGATTTATGTTTAAGAGGTAAAGTGAGCCAAAAGGCAAACGAAAAGGTTGTCCAAACAAGGCCTAATCTGTTATAAGTTCCAAAGGTCACTAAATTCCTTGCCAATTGGTTTTGAGATGAGAGCTCAAAATATTTTTATACTTTGACAAACTTTATTGATCTGGTACTCCCTTTGGTCCTCTAATTACAAGGCACAAATTTATACTAAAAATAATTTAAATTTGTGACAAATAATTAGCACCAGAAGAGCACATGGTAACTTTATTATGCAAAATTTCTACAGTGTATTTGAGTTTATCAATGTCAACTTTAACTATCAATTGCTAAAAGCTAGTTTTAAAATAATTGAAGGATTCCATTCAATATTTTGCTAAATCAGGAGGATTGTGCTCAAATTAACCAAACAATTAATAAATATATAAAGGACCGTTTTGAATAGACTCCTCTCTCAGAAGTGAGCCGCCGGAGCCGTCTGTACTCGGACGCGGCAACGTTTACAGCAACAGAGGCAAAAATAAGAACCCAAAAAACCCACAAAGATGGGGAAGAAAAACAAAAAGCCCGGAAAAGGGAAAGAGAAGACTGAGAAGAAAACTGCCAAAGCAGAGGAGAAAAGGAGCCGAAGGGAAGCCAAGAAACTCTCCCCTGAAGACGACATTGATGCTATCTTGGTATTCCGTTTCCACTCCTCATTCAACTCCCATTTTGATTACACCCTAGAAGTTGATGGATTACATATTACATTCACCTGTGGAAATACGTTACCCCTTTTTCAATTGGTGTGTATATTTTGTGTGTGCGCAGCTGAATATACAGAAAGAGGAAGCTAAGAAGAAGGAAGTTCACGTTGAAGAAAATGTTCCTAAACCGTCTCCCAGATCGAATTGCTCGGTAACTTTGTGCTAAACATTGTTGGTTTTAAGTTTGGAAAGTTAATGGGGTGCTTAAGTTTGATGGGTTTTTGTTTTCTTGTTCAAAATTGTTTTTTTTTTTTTTTTTTGTAGTTGAACATTAATCCATTGAAGGAGACTGAATTGATTCTCTATGGTGGTGAATTCTACAATGGTCAAAAGGTACTGATATTTCTTCCTGTAGTAGTCACTGAATTCTCTTATGATGACAAGGTACAACTTCAAGAGACATGAGTACAGTGGTTAGATGTCTTGCTTTAGCTAGAAGCATTATGAATACATTTTAAGGATTATCTTTTAGCAAAGGTTATGGTACTTCTAGTGTGCGAGTGCGTTGTTTGTACTTACGTGTATGAGAAGCTTAGAAACTATGTAATGGTAGTGTTGGAATTTCGGTTTATGCAGACATTTGTATATGGTGATCTTTATCGATATGATGTGGACAAACAAGAGTGGAAGCTGGTATCAAGCCCTAATAGTCCTCCTCCGCGAAGTGCTCATCAAGCTGTTGCCTGGAAGAATTATCTCTACATATATGGTAAAGATTCGGTACATATTTTATGTATTTTAGTACACCTGAATGTCTGTTAATGCATTTCGTCTTTTGCATTTGAAGGTGGTGAATTTACATCTCCTAATCAAGAGCGTTTTCATCACTACAAGGTAGACTACTCATTCTGATCTGATACTTTTTCTTTTACCGTATTCGTTCTTTGGAATCAGATATCCAATTTCCAAGATCATATAATAGCTCTGAAATTTAAAATGCAGGATTTTTGGATGTTGGACTTGAAAACAAATCAGTGGGAACAACTAAATTATAAAGGATGCCCTGGCCCTCGTTCGGGCCATCGGATGGTAAGTTCAGGCTGTTCAGCATCTATCTTGTTTATGGTGCAATTATGATATATAAGGGTTTTCTGGAACTGTTGAATTTGTTTCCTTAGCAAGATACCTCTAAGAGGTTTTCTCATGAGCGGTTTAGTGAAACATTATTACCTTTATTTCCTTACTACAAAGCCAAATGTGTATCTGAAACGTACAGGAATTCTTGAAATGAATAAAAAGAAATACCATCAAAAGATGAACCTACAAAAATGATTATCACTTCCCAGTTGAGACTGAGTAAAAATGTTACTTGGTAAATTATAGCTTTATTCTTTGAAGTACTGTGCCCACCTCTCTATAATCTTGGTAATCCTACAAATGAAGCCTTTCCAGGGGCCAAGCAGCTGAAGCCTAGTGACTTTACCTTTGTGTATGTGTTGGAATGAGCTTGTCATCTCAGTTTGATAAATCATCCTTGCTCTATGCAGTATCTAGCTATAGTTAAGAATCACTTTAATATCATGTTGTATCTGAAACGTACAGGAATTCTTGAAATGAATAAAAGTCAATGCCATCAAAGGATGAAACTAAAAAAATGATTATCACTTCCCAGTTTGGACTGAGTAAAATTGTTACTTGGTAAATTGAAGCTTTATTCTTTGAAAGACTGTGCCCACCTCTCTATAATATTGGTAATCCTACAAATGAAGCCTTTTCAGGGGCCAAGCAGCTGAAGCCTAGTGACTTTACCTTTGGGTATGTGTTGGAATGAGCTTGTCATCTCAGTTTGATAAATCATCCTTGCTCTATGCAGTATCTAGCTATAGTTAAGAATCACTTTAATATCATGTGAATTCGATTTTCAAAACCCTTTTACAGATTCTATTGGTTTCTTTCTTCTTTTCTCTGTCAAACAAAATGAAATTAGAAGAAATGAAAGAAAATAGAATCCTTGAAGGCATCAATTTGTTTGCTCTCTCTCTCTCTCTCTCTCTCTCTCCCCCTGTTAGTTTGTTTTCAACTGCCTTGGCTGAGGCTTGACCCACTAAACCTGAGAGTGGTGATATCATGATAGATGCCAATTGTTACCCAATCAGCTTAATAGAATCTAAAACAGAATGATATGTTTGCATATTTGTTTTGCAACAAGCATGCTTACCAAATGCGTGCAGCTTATTTTTTGATAGCATTTTCTAATTAAGATTTCTTGGCATTACAAGTAAGAGCATGTAGCTTGCATTTGAAAACTCCTGATTCTCCCAAGACTTATTAAATTATCCTAGAATAATTTGGACCTACATAGCTAAAAGGGAGAGAAGTTTAAGGGAGATGACTTCCCTATCAGTTCTCATGTTACCTCATCTGCTGTACAGGGAATCAGGTGCCTCGTAATTTTGACATTTAGGAGCCAATTTGCTTTGGTGCTGAGTGTTATGGATTCCTGAGACACTGTTATTATATACAAAAGTAAATAACATTCTGTATACATTTAAAACGAAAAGTTGAAGATGCACAGTTCTTGCATTCGTTTGCTATACTTAATTTTAGAAATGTAATCCCTGGAGGGCATGTAAGCTGATGTGGCTTCATAAATGTATTTTCTTTTTCTTTTCTTTTTTTATGCTTTGTTATCCAAATTATTTCCAGCTTGAGGTTTTGTTAATTTTCTTGTTGTAAAAATTAGCCAACCCCGAATAGACACGTGGTTGTAGTTCCAGAAGTTTTTAATTCTCATAATCCCTTTCTCTAGTTTTAGAAGCAAGATCAGCACTGCCTTGTGAAGTTGGAAATGATGCATGAGTAAATATGTTGGCATTTGGTAAAGGTTATTAAAATGGAACGCATTCATCTTAACCAAGAAAAACCACTGCAAATTACTTGATATAGCTTCTAATAAGTTCCTTTTGTCATAGCTTAAAAATTTTATATATGTGATTAGCGACATTGAAAGTTGGGTTACATTAAGTTGGGAAACTAGAATTTCTTCTGCTACTTGCATCCTGGATTTTGCAGTTTAAATTTTGTAGTGACAGATTGGTTTTCTTTCTCTATTGTGCCAAAATGCTTCGACATGGCTTTGTAACTTAGTGGTTTCTTCAGCTTGATTTTATTTACTGGTTGTTAGTAAGCAATTATGGGGGTTTCGTACTCAAGCATGCATGCATCAGATAACAATTAAGTAGCGTCTGTGAGGTTTCATACAGTTGCACAATGACTTGAATATAATGGCATATTTAATTTATTTTCTTTACTTATTTCATCATAAGTTTGAGAGTTTGCAAGAGAGAGTCCTTATGCTTCATTTTAAAATCTTGCAGGTTTTGTATAAGCACAAGATCATAGTTTTTGGAGGCTTTTATGACACTCTGAGAGAAGTGAGGTGAGGCCTCTTTTGGAAATTTAAAATGTCTGGTTGCCAATCAATGTTTGTTATTGGGACACACCTATGATGGGCTGCACTTGTTTGTAGGAGGAGGTCCCTAGATGCTCGATAGCAACAGTACAACATGAAAAAAATAGAGAATTGATTCAAATTGAAAGGGTTGGGGGAAGGCCTAAGAAGTCCTGGAAAGAAACTACTAAAAGGGTATAATGCATTTAGACTTAAATGAAGAATGTGTTAAAACAAAACAGGATATTGAGACATGACTCGTCTAACTGATCCAATTTTGATCAGAAAATAAAAGCTGGTTCAATTTTGTGGGATAAATGCGTAGTTGTTTGAAAAGGAAAAAACAGAAGGCTTCCCTGCTTCTCGTTATTGATTCTTTTGAAACTAGGTTTTGGATAGTTCTTTTTCCTTTCTTTTCTATATCTTTTATTTCATACTTTTTCTTTTGGTGGATTGGACACTTAGGGGTTGGTCCTAGTTAGTCTTTTAATGTGTATCTGATGACATGGAAGAAGAAACTCCTACCACCTTATTCATTTAATGTGTATCTGTTGCAATTGTAATACTTCTTTCACAAAGATACAAAGATACAGCCCTTGTATTATGGTTGCATATGCAAACTAGGAACTTCTTGTACTTTGTTTCCGAACTTCTGAGAAATCTGATTTTTGCAGGTACTTCAATGATCTTCATGTATTTGATCTTGACCAATTTAAGGTAAATTGGTAACCTATGGGCTTAGGCTTCTTCTTAAGTTTATTGATTTACCAAACTGATTTACTTGTTGCAAAATGCAGTGGCAGGAGATAAAACCTACGCCTGGATGCATGTGGCCTAGTGCTCGAAGTGGCTTTCAGTTTTTTGTTTACCAAGATGAAGTAAGTCAATATACGTAGATGTGTTAGATACTCTTACATGTTTGGAGTGATATTACGTTTGACATGTATGTTCCTTTTCTTGTGTAGATATATTTGTATGGTGGATACTCAAAAGAAGTCTCGTCTGACAAGAATGGATCTACCTCTGAGAAAGGAGTTGTTCATGCAGATATGTGGTCGCTGGATCCCAGAACTTGGGAATGGAATAAGGTTCTCATTTTAGTCCTGCTGCCTGTGATTTAAATAACATGGATACAAAGCATAATGTTGATTACGATAATGAATCATATTATTGTAGTTTTCTTGGCTTAAATTTTTTAACCTAAATTTATACTTGTTGCGTCATATCTATAAAGGTGAAAAAAAGTGGAATGCCACCTGGGCCTCGTGCTGGTTTTTCTATGTGTGTCCACAAGAAGAGGGCTTTGCTATTTGGAGGTGTGGTGGATATGGAAATGGAAGGTCTGTGTTCATCTGTTTTTTCTCTGCTTCTTCTTTCATATATTAGAAGAGTAGCATTTAGTGGGCTATATACTAGGTCTGATGTCTTACTTTCACCTTATACTTCAATGCTTATCTTGCGTATTAGAAGATCCTGAATTGTAGCAGCTAGAAATAATCTGTTCTTTTAGGTTTTATTTGCATGAGATTCACTACTTGGTTTATTATTACCTCTTATTATAACAGGTGACGTGATGTTGAGCTTGTTTCTGAATGAACTTTATGGCTTTCAGCTGGACACACAACGCTGGTAATTTTAAGTCTTCTTCTTTTGTAAGATGTCCCCTTTAGACAATTTAGGGACGTGTGTGTTCTCATCATCTCAGCACATGATGTGATAAGTTTTATGTGGTAATTGCAGCCTTGGGCTCATTTGAATGGTTACATAAATTTCTGACTGCTCAGTTGGATCCATTTTCTTTTGAAGAGGAATTGGGATAGTGTCCACACCCTGCTGAGGGAACTAAACACCATTTTTATTTAAAGTGATAAACTGTTATCAAATTGAGATATTGTGTGGATGTAATCCATTTCTTCATTGTCTTTGTAAACGAGAATATTTAGCAAACCTATGGAAATGTTTTGGGCAGGTATCCTCTAGAGCTACGGAAGGATAAATCCACAAAAGGGAAGGTAAAGTTTCTATTCTTAAACATTGATTAAATGCAGATGCATATAAGTATTCAAACTGTTATGTATTTGCATTTTGACTATTTATAGTTACTCATCTTCGGAAAAAAAAAAGAAATGCTAGATTGGTTTTACCTCACTTCATTGAAATTGTCCTCTTTTCCCTTTTGAACCTACCAGAACATCAAATATTGCTGCGTGTTCTGCAATTAGCTGGTTAATACCGATTGATTTGGGTCTAATGAATTCACAGTTAAGATTATGCAACAATGGAAGACTACTGGATTCTTCCTAAAGAAAAAATGTTAAGAAAAATTTACAACCTTTCACTAGCTCCAAAATCTTATCTTATCTGTCATCTGACAAGTTTTGCCCAGAGAAGGATATTGACTTGTTCTCTATGTCACTTCTTCTTTCCAAGATTTCCTTCAAATGATCCAACAAGACTTTTTTTCTTTTATTAAATATGTTTTATGTCATTTCTATCTTCCTTCATACCAGTGCCTGGATAGATGTTGATATACAAACACATATATTTATTATCTTCTCACCTGTACAACCGATTATTCTGCTGCAAGCATTTATAGAGAATTAAGTCTATCACGGGTTGCATTTCTCTGATGCCGTTTAGTTTCATGTCTTTTAATTGGCATTGCAGTCGAAGAAAAATCACGATGAGAAACCTCCTGAAATGACTGTTATCAAGAAGACCAACGAGATGGAATTTGCCATAAATGAAGATGCGTGTTTGGACAGTGACGAAGATCTTGATTATCAAAGCAACATCAGTGATATTTCTTCTCGTGTGGAAAGACATCTAAAGGTTGAGAATAATGAGAATCAGAAGGCGACCCAATCTGTTGAAAAGATTCCTCAATCTAACTCCAGAATTGTGTTGCAAAGTTCTGAATCACCTGAGGTCCGTTCCACCAGAGTAAATTTTAGCATTGTGATTTATTACCAGTTGATGCTTGCAAGTTGCCTGTAAGTCTATAACAGAAATTCTGTCTCCAGATAGTGAAGCCTTGTGGACGCATCAACTGCTGTATGGTTGTTGGCAGAGATACATTATATATCTTCGGAGGGATGATGGAAAATAGAGATAAAGAAATCACTCTAGATGATTTGTACATCCTTAATCTCAACAAGCTTGATGAATGGAAGTGTATAATTCCTGTCAGTCACCTTCTCCCCTTATATACTCTATTTTATGCATTTCCATTACATATGTATTATGTATGTATATGTTAACACATTTGAATTTCTGTAAGGTTCCTTGTCTTTAGTGTTCTCTGCACGTACTGTTAATCAGTGAAAGAAGACCCATGATATTTACCTTGGAATTGTTACTTTGTAATCCTTCCTGTTGCAGTGACTGAAATTTTTGTTTGTTCACACAGGCATCAGAACCTGAATGGGTTGAAGAGTCCGAGGATGAGGTTGAGGACGAAGATGAAGATGAAGATGAAAATGAAGGTGATACAGAAGAAGAGAGTGAGGAGGATGACGATGTTGATGATGAAGTAGATAAAGAGGTATTGGCTCATGCAATGCATATTGCTATCTACAATTTAATCATGCTTTTATGCTTTTATTCTGTTTCATTTCATGATTGACTAACAGTGTGTGATTTTATTGTTTCTGAAAAGGCTAGCAATGGTGGTGCTGCATCACTTGAAGTGGGCGATGCTGTTGCTATAATCAAGGGTGAAAAGAAAAGTATGCGAAGGAAGGAGAAAAGAGCAAGAATAGAACAGATCAGGGCCAGTCTTGGGCTTTCTGATTCACAAAGAACTCCTATGGTATGTATTGCAAGTAGAACCTTTCTCATAGAAATGCTAAATCAAGTGTTCGTGTCTTCTGCATTGTTTTATCTGGATAGTCGTGCTTACTGCTTAGTATAGTTTGCTAATATTTGCACCTCACTGCGCCTGATGTTTCCCGTCAAGTTCATTCACCTTTTCTAACTCAAATTCTTCACTTGATTTCTGTGAAGCCTGGAGAAACATTAAAGGATTTCTACAAGCGTACAAACCAGTATTGGCAAATGGCAGCATATGAACATACACAACATACAGGAAAGGTAAGTCTTCCGTTGCTTGGTTGAAATTCCATCTTAGGATTCGTAACATGATTTCCTTATTACTTTTTGTCTCCGGGGTATGTGAATGGATCACTAAGGTTGGAAACTGAAAGATAACAAAACATATTTTTTCCTTACAGTAGAAGAAAAACAATAGTTCATCTGAAAGATAAAAACATAGTTATCTGATTTCCTTATTACTGTTTGTCTCCGTTTTCTACAATCTTGTTTGACTTTCATTTGGATCTAGGTTTTTTTTTTTTTTTTTTTTTTCCGTCTCAATTCATCCGTCGTGTTTCTAACATGCACCATCTGGCTGAATAGGAGCTCCGTAAGGATGGTTTTGATCTTGCTAAAGTTCGATACAAGGAACTTGCACCAATTCTTGAAGAGGTAAATTATGGTGTATTTTCCTGCTAAAGAAGAAAATTTTACGCAACCAGATTTGAAATTTAATCTTATTTGACAACCTGCAGTTAGCAGTCTTGGAAGCAGAACAAAAGGCAGAAGAGGAAGCATCTGCCGAAACAAGCACCTCCAAGAAGAAAGGCCACAAAAACAAGCTCCAGGCATCCAAGTAGCTTGAACCCAAGTGTACCATAACCTAAAGAAGCCAAGAGAAAGGAAAGATGGAAGGCTTGGATAACTGGACAAATCATTTTTTATATAAAAAGAAATTAGTTAGTACTTTTTAGACCTACATTTTTGTCACTTTTAGTAATGTAGAAGACTAGAAGTTACATGTGCTGGAAACCATGAGGGATATTAGTCACAGAAAAGAACTTGACAATGAAAGGGGCCACAGAAAGAAAAAAAGGATAACTTGTTTTAAAAAATGATTAGTGCCTACAAATTAGGGAGCATTACAAATTTGATATTGAGTTACGGTTTTAGTGGTAAGACGCCTCTCCTACTTCTCTGAAAAAGAGTTAAAACAACAATGTCCACAAGCATTAAAAATGGGATGAATGCCAGACCTGAATAACACAATAAAAAGTTCTGTTCAACTTTAAGTCTTCTTTTTCAATACAAAAAGGTGAAGAAGTTGGGTATGGAGCTGGTAACAACATTAAGTGTCTTTCGGCCAAATAGTTGATTAAAAATGTGTGCTTGGGTTTAATGATTCAAACTTTTAGACTTTTAGAGCCAAAAGAACCACTTAGAAACCATCTTTCATACATCAAAAAGGATAATCAGAAGAAAAGGGGTCGATTTACCCTTTACAAAATTGTACTTTTCAAGTGGGTTTTGGTATTATCACTTTTCGTGTAATTTTCACGGTAAAATTCCTCAAAACATTTCTACGTGTATGATTACTTATCCTAAAAGTAGCATTGCGGGATAAAAATCACTTTAACTACAGTGAAATTTTTTTGGTTTTTTGACATAGTAAACAAACCAAAAGGCAAATTTAAACATGAAGATGAATTAGAGTAATGGTGGAACTTGGTCCTACTTATCCGATCCCATGAAATTGAATCCAGCTGTGGGGTTTAATTAATCCTAAAATGGTACTTACAAGTTTTAGTTATATATTGCAGAAAAGTGAAGCTGTTTATTGGACTAATTGAATACATGATACTGCACCGTCTCATTCAATTTAAATGTCTTCTACATTAACGGCGGTAATTACGATTTAAAATTTTATAGTTCTTCTTTTTTCTTAAAATAATTATGCCGGACTATTTATTTTGGATGGAAGGAATATTATTTTTGGCAACACAAGAAAAAATGAAAATGTTGTTTTCGATAATGTCACAGTACGTAATAATGTCGAATGAAAGCAGTGCTGGAGCCAGGAGGGGTGCAAAATTTTGGAAACAACTACTAATGATATAGGAAATTAACGTAGAAAGTGTGAAAAATTATACAACACATAATTTTCTGTTAAAAATTTAAGACACTGCTACTAATAAAAACTATTAAATAGGTACCTACCTCCCGCCACTTCTTGAAAGTACTAATTTTAGTTATGACATACATAATGTAAAAGTTGGAAAGAATTTGAGAGAGATAGAGAACTGAATATAGTCATGAGGGCTTCCGAGTAGAGTCGAAATCGATTCTTATGCGTGTAATGACGTAATAACATTTTTCTATTACGGGCTGAATGACACTTCTTAAATAACTGACACGTGTTTAGTTATTTAGCTAAATAAGTTACTTATTATTTTTTATGTCCTAAAAAAATAGTTCATATTAAATTTTACATTTGTATTGTTTTCAGTACAAATTTGAGAACTCAATATATATTATTTTGTGGGATAGTGGTAGTATTATTTAATTACGATGTTAGTAATGTACTTCCTCCGATCCTTAATATAAATCATTTTGACTTATCCTAAGTTTCATTTAGTACGTATTTTTAATTGACGAAAAAATCTTAAAACATTTGCTAACAATTAAAAGAACACAACAAATGTGAAAATGTATTTTTAAAATTTTTTCGTTAACTAAAAATGCATACTAACTGAAAGTTAGAACAAAATTAAAATGCATTATATTAAGGACCGAATGGAGTATTAATTATTATGACACTTGTATCAAATTTTTAACTAGTTTTTATAGATAAAAATGCCATAAAAAATCCCTTTGTCAGATACAAGGGAGAGAAAATTTAGGAGAGTTAGAGGCGATAGAGTATAGCAAACCAGGGTAGATCCACCAAAAAAAAAAGAAAAAGAAAAAAAAGGGGAAAGAGACGAGAGTAAAATGGAGGGAAGGAGAAATGGCATAAAAGGAAATGAGCGGAGAAAACTAGCAGAATAGAAAGTGTTTTTTATTTTTATTTTTACTCAATAAAAACGGAAAAATTTTCATGTGAATAAGCCCAAGATGCATTCACAAATTTTCAATCATATTCTTCAAATTACCCGTACCTTTGGTTGTCCGTCGAGTTGAAGAGCGGCACCATCCTCGTAAGAAAGCAGAGATCGGCTATTCCTAAAACGAATTGGAACTCCCCGGCCAGTCCCGGGAGTGAAGGCATAGAGGGAGCAGAATACAAAGTGTATTAACTTACATGCTACAAATAACCAAATGAACATAAATTTGGCAGAATTAAATAAACAGAACTTATTTCAAACAGTAAAAAAGAGAAAAATTTAAAACAAGACAACTCATTTAGAATTGAAAGAAAATATTTTATTCATTACAAAATTTCTCAATTCAAAAAGAAAAATTTTTTTAGTTAAACAAGTTTGATTATTCTGTTGGGAGGGAACGAAGGAGGAATTAGAATGCGCATCTTCTAACATGCAACTCATTATGCCAAATACTGATTTGTTTTATGTTAATTTTAATTTGTCTATATTACACATTGTTATTTCAAGAAATTATCACATGCATTTCATTTTCATTGTTTCTTGTGAATAGCTAGTTAAGCACCCCCTTTTAGTTCTTAGAGCAATGCTGGTATTAATTACTCCTTTTGCCTCAGAAAAATAGTACTACTTTCGTTCCACAAAAAATAGTTCATATTAAGTTTTCAAATTTGTACTAAAAACAGTATAAAACTCAAAACTCAGTGTGGATTATTTTTGTGGGACGGAGGTGGACTATTTTTATAGGACGGAAGGAGTACATATAATATATTGAAAATTTTTCTTTATATATATATTTCATAAATTAAAATATAAATTATTTTTTTTTGGGACAGAAATGGACTGACAATATAAAACGACTCAATAACTCTAGAGCAAAAAGCACAACACCTTAACTTTTTTTTTTCTCGTTATGAATCCTCTTTTAATTTTTTTAAAATTATTTTAAATATGGATGAATTAGTGTCAGAATATATGCATTTCAGAATTAATTAACTAATATGCAAAATATTGTAGCTTAAATTTTAAATGAATATGAAGTTGGTAGGATTCAACTAATTTGTAGGATTTTTCTTTTTCTTTTCTTTTAATAATTAGTGATGTTTGGTCGCGCAATGCAAAAAAAGAAACGTGCTTCATTTGCAAAATAAAATAATAATAATAATAATAATAATAATAATAAAATAATAATAATAATAATTGGTCAACTGGGAGTATGAAACAAAATCAAAAGCAATTAAACAAAGAAAAAACACACTTCATAATTGGCCATATACGAAAAAAACCTGAGACTCCATAATTAAAAAAAAAAAACCACTCTAATAGAATGAAACATAAAAAATAAATTTAAAAAATCACACTTTGTAATAAAAACCCAATCAATCAATTTAATCCAAACATAACTAAAATCATACAAAAATTCTAGGCTAACTAACCAAATAAGAAATCACATCATACTACCTGACAACAGCTACGGTAGTTGTAACGGATGGACGCATAAAAATAATAGTAATAACACTTTTCTTGAACGGGAAAAACAAAAAATAATAAAAGCCAAACCAATAATTTGTGAAAATAAAATCATTTAAATTTTAATACCTGCAATGGCACCACTACAACGGCCGAAGCAAGATCAATGAGAATTTTTTTTTTTCCTTTGTGTTTATATAGAGAGGTAAAGAGAATAGTTTTTGAAGTTGAAATTTTATCCGATTAAGATGTAGTTAATCATCACTAATGAAAAGATTGAATATGCTAATAGGAAAGGAGTATATTTCACCACATATTCTCAATTGATGATTGATGAGGAATTTGTTTTTTTTTTAATTGTGGAGAAGGTATTGATTAGGGAGTCGATTGTCGTGGAGATGGGGATGAGGATTTGGGTTTTTTTTTGAACCCGTGGTTTTTTTTGTTTGTTTTGACGAAAATAGGAGGTGGAAGTGAATTTAGACCGTATTTGCCTTTTAAATTTAGGAAATGTGGTAATAAAAATTTATTTTAAAAATATGATGTAAAAATGCCACATGGGAAATGATGGTGCTTTCTCTTATTTGTGGTTTTTGTTTCTAATATAGTAAGATATTTCCATTTTCTTAAGCTAAGAGTAATCGTTCCCAGAGTAAGAAAAATATATGACATCCATTAAAAAAAATAAAAATTAAAATAATGTGTATTTGAATTAGATACAAATGTTACAGTAAATTATTCTTATCATCGTGAACTTCTCATTCTCCTACTAAGTTTAAGTATAACTAAGATTGACTACTATTGCAATCATAAGGTGAAACATTCCACGCGAAGAAGTGAAAATCTTTCCACACACATTTATTTATAAAGTCTGTATGATTTTCTGCACTCTATTATTTTAACAATTTTTTTTTTCATAATTCATCTACTTAAACATTTTAAAAGAAGAGCGTAGCTAGCTTATTTCCTTAATTTTTTTTTGTAAATAATTAATTATTTGGTTAATTATCACTTATTCTCAAAAGAAGTTTTGCACTGCAGCTTTTGGTACGAATTACTAGACATTTTCTTCTGTACTTACGCATGCAATAAACTACTATTGTAACTTATGCTATTTTCTTTACTAATTAAACTTTTAATTCGGCAGAAATTTGTTAACCCAAAAAAGAAAAAGTTCTGCACAAATTCTTATAAAAGGTGTCAGCCTAAATGATGCTAATCCATACAGAATGCCTTGTACTTCAGTATTCATAGATATTGAATTCCTCTATTTTAGTGAAAGTCACTTATTTTAGTAGAAGCTTTTAGTTAGATTCCTTCGAGTAACGAGGAAATTAAAGTTCCAAATGCATGTGATCGTATGTTCTATACTATTATCTATTACTTTTTTTTTTTTTAAAAAAAAAAACTGTCACGCAAGATTTTGCATAATGATTATGAAACTCAATGTTCATTTTTCACCTAAATTAATGATTGATTAGGTGTCCAAACATATTGTAGTAATAGAAGAGACAGTTAGGGTAAAAGCCAAGGAAGTAATTAATGGAAATTATAAAATAACAAATAAAATTGCCGAGACAATATTTATATTTATATACTAGGGTATGATGATATACTCTTTCATGCATCTTAGAATTTCTAGCTAAGTAGTTTTTTTTCCTTCATTTTACCAAAAAATTTGTTGGATTAGTTCTGG